CATTCTGTTCACATTTTAATGATGATCAACCTGCAGGTCATAGGGCGGTCTCTGCGAGCGAATGCCTTGGTGGGGACAGGCCAGCATGACACTCCGCCTGTTGAAGAGCCGAATACACAGACGGTAACTTCAGGGTGTGATCATGCATTTCATGGCTACAATGATGATGAATGGTGGTCTCGCTTTCAGGTTGGAGTTGGGCGGCGTTTCGAATCGGGCTACTCCGTGCAGGAGTGGTGGGATGCAATTCGCGCAGCGCGTTCATCCAGCGACCGCACGATTGTGGTCATGTACTTCTTTGGAGGGGAACGTAGAGACGGTGACGTGCAGGAACATGTCGAAAAGCTCGCCGCGGAGGCAAACCTCAAAGTGTTGATGATCACAGTTGACCTTGGGTGTGATTCTCGCTGGGATGTTGCGCAGCCGGAAACTTTTCATGAAATCATGCGCATGCTGGAAGGCTATGTTGACATCATTGTCGGGGGTCCGCCTTGCTCAACGGTGTCTCGAGCCAGGCATCGCCGCGGAGGTGAGGGACTCAACCTTCCAAGACCGTTGCGTTTTCGTTCATGCCCATGGGGGCGCGCAGGCCTCACCACCGCGGAATCTGGAAGACTCCGTGAGGCAAACCGGTTGTGGTTACATTTCATGATGGCTTGCGAGAAAGTATCGGCGCGAGGAGGTTGCCACTTGTTTGAACATCCTCAAGATCCAGGGGTTGAGCCTTTCCCTTCCATTTGGATCACCCCAGAGATGATTCAATTGGAGTTGCGTACGAAAGCACAGCGAGTCTCCTTTGATCAGTGCGCCTGTGGAGCGCCAGTTAAGAAGGGTACAACTGTGTCAGGAACACTGGACGGCATTGGCGAGTTCGAGCGATTTCAATGTCCGGGCGTTGGTCCAGAGCACTTTCATTCAGGGCATGCTACAGGGCTTGATGCACGCGGCTCTTTTCGGTCAAGGCGGCTCCAGGCGTACCCGCAAGCCATGTGTGAACTTCTGGCCAGGTGCATCGTGAAGAGTGCTCGGCGTATGGTCACAGAAGGCTCGGGCCCCACTGGTTACTTACTTCCTGTTGGGGTCCAAGCAGTTCCGACAGCATGGTCATTTTCACATTCGCAGATGCACTCGGCGGGAGTTGACATTCTCAATGAACAGGTGGTGCATGGGCGTCGCACACTTCTTTCCTCAACACAGGCAGGTGTGTATTTACACGTGGATGACACATTAACGTTCAGCACGGAATCATGTAGTTTGTCTGCGTCAAACATGATGCACACCGTTGCCGACTCCATGGAGGAGATTGGTTTTGTAGTGCCTGAAAGAGTACTGCCCAATGAAGTGGTGAAGGTGATCGGATATGCATGGTCGCCAAGTACAAACACGTTCAGCTTGCCTCCGAGGAAAAGGGTTTTACTACAGCGAGCTTTGCGAGCGTTGGCCGTTCAACGTCGTGTTGAGGTAACTGTCCTTCGAGCCGTGATCGGTCTTTGGTCCTTCGGGGCACAGCTGAGGCGCGACCTGTACGCAGTTCCTTTCGTAGTATACAACTTCATTGACAAGTTTGATGGCTTAACGGTCAGGCTTTGGCCGTCGGTCCGCCAAGAACTCATACACATGGCCACTGCAGTTGATTTCATGTTCCTTGATGTGAGCATGCCATTTTCTTCTGACGTTCTTGCAACGGATGCCATGGGACACAACG